GCCTTTTGCCAGAGGATACTTTTCTTGTGTGGAAGCCTCTTTTATTATTTTGATGTCTTAATTTATAAATAATGATTTAATATTACTTCTCCATCTTACCAAGGGGTGACTTTATTGCTCCTGTTGTCATGGCTCAGGTGGGGTGTCACCTGATGCTGCCACTCTGGTTTTAGGATCCCTTGAGAAGGCCCAGAGCACCCTCCCAAGACCTTCAGACCTCCCTTATTTGGCTGAATAATAGGCAAGAGGACCAGGCAGAGTAAACAACAAATAATTGGTTTAACAGGAGGTCATCCCAATATGGGAAACAAACAAGGTGCAAGAACCATGACAATAAGGGGGTGAAGAGAAAAGAAACCAAATGCCTTAACGCGACTAGACTCACAGTCCCTAGTGCACTGTCTCAATTGGGCCTGAGTCTACTCACCCTTCTTCTCAGGGTGAGGGTCTCTCCCAGCAGCAGCCTTCCCTCTGGCCCTGCTCTCTTGGAAGAAAGAACAGCTCTTCTTCTGTACCAGCTCTTTTGTTACAAGTCCCCTTTCTCTGTGATTGGCTAAAATTGTCACCAAAACCTCTCAGGGACTTCTGGGAGTTGTAGGCCTGGCCTCCTCCCACTGCTACTCAAGCTCCCTGGACCTGCTAGGCACAGCCCAGATCATGACACCCTAGAACAGATTTAGACTAATGTTGAGGTTGACTGTTTTGGGGGAAGTAAGCTCCATTTTATCACACAACTCACAGTCCTGCAACCAGGGTTGAAGTGGAGATTTTGTGTGAATGACACAACTGCTGCCATTATACATCTTATGGAACAAACTGTTATGGTGAATGCATTTATTTAAAGGTCATCAAAGTACCAGATTGGCTACACCTTCTCATTCTGAGCCCCATATAAAAAGTGATGCTCAAAGAAGCCACAAGATGTTGCAGAAGGACTTGCGGGGCATCTCATTTTCCCCTCCCCACTATTTCTTCTTTCCCTTCTCAGAGCCTCTCTCCTTTTCCTGCTTATCTCGTTGCCACCCAACAGCCAACTGACCTGTATCTGCCCTCCCAGCTTCAGTTTTTCCTTCCCCACCAGCAACCTGTTCTTAGGAAAACTATGGCACAGTTGTGTGGTGCCAGCTGTTGGGACAGGCCCATTTGCATGGTAGGGAACCCTCAAGGACTTGCAAGGGAGACACATAACTTTCCTCTGTATCCCTCCTCCCCACACTATTTCCTCCTTCCTTCCACTTGGCAATCCCCATATCCTCTCTCCTTTCTGTTCCCCATTGTCTTCTCAGGTACTCACCAACCTACCTTTTATTTGTCTCCCATCTCCAATGACATTTATTTTTCGTTGACTTCATATATACTCAGCCTTTCTCCACAGTAGGGAACAAACCAGTGTACATCATTCTCCTCTACCCCTTTGTATTCTCACAATAATCCTGTGAGGTTGGTTAGGCTAAAAGAATGTGATTTGCACAACAATTACTTAGTGAGCTTCTATGGCAGACTGGTGATTTGAACTTTGGTTTCCCAGACGCTGCTCTGAAGCTGTAACCACTACACCACATTGGCTTTCATAGGGTGGGTACTGTTGAACAGTAGCAGATAGCCAGGCATGGGATAGTCATTCAAGTTGGGAGGTATCATATCACCCAGTGGTTGCTTCCATGCCTGGCTCCAATGAGTGTGCCATCAAAGGCCAAGGCAACCTTGGAAAGGGTCCTACCCTCCCGCTCTGTCTTTTACTAACAGCCACAGAGGGCACCCATTTTTATGCAACCTTGGGTGTTTTTCAGGGCTTGCCTGTTCACAACTCCAGTCTTCAGATTTAAGTATCCACAGATGGGGCCATACTTGGCTATTAGAAAATGTTTTCCAGAGGATACTGGGATTGTGATTTCTGCCCAGTTGTGCCAGTCATCTCCAGCTATCCCCACATTCATACTGCTACTTTTACGATATCCCACTTGTGGCATGGGATATGAAGGTGTGTTTCAGTGGCCATACTAAATGTACATATCAGGACCAGTATTGTGTGTGTTCTATTTTAGAAAATTCCTGTGCTTGGTGCTTTGAAAAGGCACCAGAAGCCATGGCCCTAAGTATCTGAGGCCTAATTGAATTCCTGTTTTGTTTTTCTAGTTATGAACCAGAATTGAACCCTGGAGACCATCAAAAGACCAATATACTAAAATATCAGATGGAGAAAAGGCCTTTCTTTGACATGCCTTCCCATTTGGCTGATGTTGACTTGGATGAGTATGACTATGAGGAAGACTTTGAATAAATTGTGCTACCCCGTTTGAACAAGAATGAATAAGGACTGTCTGCAGCAGGTCTGCTGAATCTGTGTAGAGCTTTGTTTCTGGAAAAAAGAGTAAACTTAATTGTTTGGCTGTAAGATTAATATTTTAATCATTTAAGTAATATTTTTAAAACAAATGAGTTTGTAGGAATGACATCTTTTGTATTTATTCAACAGATTGTTTACTGTAAAGTACTTAAATTATTTATAGATAGGTTATTCTTCCTTTAAGGAATTGCAACATATCTTAGTGTTTAAAGTAAATTTTCAGGCTTGTTTGTTTTTATACAACACTAGAATTCTTCCTAATTTCTACTTGTACATGTTAGCCGAGGCCAGAAGTTGTTGCTCTTGCAGCCTCTTAGCAGAAGTCCAGTAACTGCCAAAATTCAAAGACAAAAGGGTCACAAGCCAGGACTTGGAAGGTAGTGGCTAACTTCTCGAGTAAAGAGTCATTGCTTGGACAAGCTGGATACACTGGTGCGCGTAGCAAAGTATGTCATGCTCTGAAACAACCTGTTCTTTTCCTGTCTTTCTCCTCTCTTACTCCTTTTCATTTTGTTCGCTTGTCGCCCATTGCAAAACTAGCTTTTATCTCTCACACGACTGCAGTGGATATCTTTATTCCCAGGTCAAAGGAACCAATTTTTAAACACTATGTAAGTTTTACTTGATCTGTTATGTGCACTAACCTTGTGATGGGCATTTAGTGTGTTTCTTCAATGGTTAGCTATTGACACATTCCATGAATATTCATACCAATCGTGTCAGAGCAGCTGAATAGTCTGATGCTTTGCTTGCCCTGTGTAAGGTGAGAGAGCGCTTCCTGGACAAGCTAGATGTTGCTACTCCAGTTTTTTGGAAAAATCATAATGGTTTGTAGTGCCTTAATTATCCCCGTGTTCACCCGAGAAACTGAATATAAAGTGTTTAAAGCAAAACTCTTGCTGTTAGATTTTCATGTAAAGGGGGGGGGGAAGCAGATGTAAGTTATTTTGGTTGCAGTGCAGATCTCTTACAGATTTAAACTATCATGTTGGTATTTTCAAATAAAGTTTTTTTTCATAAATATAATTGATCTGTCTCTTCAGTACTGAATACAGCGAGTCTGCTTTCAAAATACCTTTACTCTAGAATACAAAAGAAGTGGGTTGGATTGCTAGAATAGTGACTTCAAGAATTTTGATTGATGGCAGTCCCTTTTAAATAATACTACAGGGTTGGATATGTAGCACTAGATAATACTATCTTATCACTGGAGAAATCTGTGGATGTTGAATCCTGTTCTGCCACTCTTAAGGTGCAGTGGCTAAATAATGATTTGTTTGGCTTATCTACTTGGGTCCCGTGATTATTCTGGCAGGCACAAGGGGCAGAAGGAATTTCTCTTCTCTTTGGTAAAGCTTTTTAGTTTCCAAGCAGGGAAAACTGAAGCCCCCTCTATGTTTACTCTAACACAGCAAATAGCAGCACCAGGGGCCCATTTGAGCTTTGGGAATGGTGTGGGTGAAGTAATCACAGACAATCTGGGCCCTGGAGCCCTTTTCCAAATGGTAAGGATTCCAACAGTTCTTCTGTAGCAATAAAAAATGTGCAAGAGATCCTTCTGTGGACTCTTGCCCGCACACAAGGGCCAGCCTTATAATGAAATGAGGTTGTAGCTTCATGACATAGATTCTGTATGTAGATGGCTTAGGCCATCTCTCTCCTAAGCAATATTTTTTTTCTCTTCCTTCTTACCCAGGCCTCTTGAAACACAGTGCAACAAGCCATGCATGCCTAACAGGGCTCCTGAACTCGTGTGTGTTTGTGTGTGCCTGGAAGTCACGGTTGACTTCTAGCAACCCCTAGTGGGGCTTGGACATTTCAGAGTGGTGGCTTGCTATTGCCTGCCTCTGCATCCCGGCCTCCCATCCAAGTACTTGCCAGGGTGGCCCTGCTTAGCTTCCAGGATCAGGCTTGCCTGGGCTATCCAGGACAGGGCTGGGCTGGGCTCTTGAACTCTTATAGCTGCAGGGGGTTAAAGGTGGCACCTGCAGCTGACTGGTAACTCCCCCAGAGCCTGCATTTGTCTTGTGGTGCTTTCCTTTTAAGGTCTTCTAATACTAACAGGGCACTCGTCATACAAATTCAGCCAAACTAAATCTGTCACTCATTTTATTTTGCGAACACATTAATATAAAAGTATGAAACAATTATTTTACAGGTCTTGCAATAATAACGGATCCCTAATGGCACGCTTCCATTCTGGTGTCAACACTAAAGACTGTAATGATGCATATATGAAACTGGAAGTAGAAATGGGTATTCTGACAAGGACTTCAGGGTTTCTTTTTATGTACACACATTCCACAGCTTTCTTCTCTCTCAAATCCATCATCCTATGAAACAAGATGGTAGAAATGTGCTTGCTTAGAGCCCTCCAGAGTATACATTCCTTTTTTTATTTGCATAAAAGAAGGAAACTGCTGTCTGGCTGGGTTTTGTGGCCTTGTCTATACATAAACATGCTAGCACGTTTTTGGACAGAAAATACAGAAACTGTGATTATAAAGTCACATAATACAAGACAAGAAGTGAAGAAAATTTTTAACACTGGATGAAGTTGTCATCATTATGGTCATTTTCTTTGTCTTTTCCAGATATACTGAGCTCCATATACCAGGTTAGCTGGGAGCATGATGTGATGTCCAAGATAAGAGCGATCACTTCTTTCTTGTGAATCAGCAAAGTAACGGTTTCTGACCAGATGTCTTGGAATCTCATGTCTCCTGTATATGAACAAATGTTAAAATAATCCACTTGCCATTTAAGTTCTCTGGGCCATACTTATAGTTTTAACAGGTATTGGAGGCTTCCCCTTTGTTTGGATTTGTTCACTTCATTAGCGATTGTGTTTGTATTGCTACTGTTAAGAGCTTTTATAGGTTTTAAAAGCTTTTGTATTACTCTTTTTCACTTTTGTTTGATATTAATTTAGGAAGGTGACAGTGAACTATGAATAAAGATATACACAAAACTCTCTAGCCCTTTCAGTTGCAAAGATATGCCTTTCCCCTTACGTCTCCGCAAGGGACAGAGACTTAATCTTCTTTTAAAAATGAAAGCTGGGAATTCAGATAACCTGCTACTCCTATGGTTACAATGGTATATTGATAACAATATTCTAGTATGACCATTCTGGTGTGGATTTTTAATAAAATAAAAGCCCCTCCCAGGTGAAGGAAAGAGGAGAAATCTGAATTTTCCCATCCAGGCTTCATTATGATCTTTCCCAAAACTGAAGCAAAGCAGGTTTGAGAAAAATCCACTCCCCAAAAGCATTGAGCTCAGTGGAAATGGCCACTGTCACCAACTTTAAAAACAGAATAAATGGAAGAGTGTATATCAGAGTTCCTTAGCCAAGCTAAGGAAGTTTCTGTGGTCTACTTAAATGAACAACATCAGAAAGACCTTCTATCCAGACTCCCAAGATTTGATAGGAAACCCACAAACAGCACTATATGTATCTTGAGTAGCCTTTGAATGCCCCTCCCCTCCCCTCTGCACTGTCCAGCCTGCTAGTTAATAATCCACCTTTCCAGGCCTATTTTCTGTGCCCTGCAGAGGAAAGGCAGGTGGTAACTAGAGACAGGGCTTTTTCGGGGGTGGCACCTTGCCTTTAGAATACCTTCTTCCAGGGGTCTTTTGGTAGAAAAAGAGCTGCAGGAGCTCATTAGCATACGGTATGCTAATGAGCTACTAGGCTATTAGCATAATAGCTCATTAGCATATGCAATGCCCCCTGACATCACTGGAAGTGATGTCAGAAGGGGAAGCAAAAGGGGGGAAGGGATCTTCAAAAGCCTCCCCTTCCCTGGGGGGGGAAGCAAAGAGAGAAGGGGTTTAAAGTTTAAACCCCGTCTCACTAGAGTTCGGCCACAGAAGTAGGAAAGAAGGAAGGAAAGAGAGCGAGAGAGTAGAGAGAAGGAACGAAGAAAGGAAAGAGAGAAAGAAAGAGAATGAAAGAAGGAAGGAAAGAGGGAATAAAGAGAGAAGGAAAGAAGGAAAGAAAGAGGAAAAGAAAGAAGGAAAGATGGAGGGAAAGAAAGAGGGCAAAGAGATGGGGATGGAGGGAGGCTCTTCCACCCCTTGATCAAGTCCCTGCCCACCCCCTCT